GCTTTAACAATTCATAACGCAGGTCTGGCAATGTGAAACCACCTGATGTCAAAACAGCAGTGGCATGTTTACCTGCAGCCCCTCGATGCCAGCCGCAGCATGCTGGGAGTCAGTTTGGACGCCTGCTTGAAGGTGAAGTTGCTCCAGTCGATGATGAGGATAAAGCCGTTGACCTGCAGCTCGGGGTCTTCTATCATGGACTCCAGCGACAGCAGGATCGCCCGCAGTATGTCCACAAAGGTGTATCTGAGTTCAAGGTCAAAACAAAGTGTCGTCATTACACATTTAGCTCTAGAACATGATTCCAGTTTTAATCTTCACACCAGTTTTTAATTTAGTCTCCTGACGAAAATGTCTTTTATATTTAGTCAGATATTAGTCATTTGTTATTGATTTAATTTAGTCAATTAATCACTGACTAAAATTGCACATCATTTTAGTTGATGAAAATAGAAGATATTTTAGTCAACAAAATCAGACGCAAGCTTTTATTTTGATTATCAGAAGCTCCAGGGGGCGGGGCTTCATGGACCTGCAGGCTCCAGGCTGCACATTGTTGCACTCACCACACACACACACACACCTTTGATGAAGTCTGCTATGGTTTACAATGATTTGACGGGGGTACCTGATAATCCTCACTTGTAATGTAGTTTTCGTTCCGTCACATTTTCGTCAATTAGACGATGAAGTAATATTATTTATCAAATCGTCAAATAACGGAGTTTCATCTCGTCATCGTCATCGTTGACTATATATTTTCGTCATTTAGTTCGTTGACGAGATTAACACTGCATAATTCACCTGTGGAAAAAGGACTTAGTGGCAACTGAAGTGATGAAGTGCAAAAAAAATAACTGCAGTTCTTCAAATGACCACTTGAGGCTAGCGCCAAAAGCGAGCCAATCCCCATAGAGAACCAGGTTAAAACACCAAATTAACAGCAGAATTTTACATGTTTAAAGCCTGGTTAAAATGTTTTTTTTTTTTTTTAACTATTCACATCGACTCGACTATATGAAGGGGGCGTGGCTTCTTCTCTGAGTGACAGGTTGGTGTCACCTTACAGCCTGTGCTAACAGCATGCGACACGAGCGTCAGCAACAAAATCAGCTTAGTTGTATTGTTTCCTATTGGAGCGCCTTAACTGCACTCGAGCAATGCAGTGGGAAGCAGTGTGCCGTTTTTAACCCCAATGCCTTGTTTCTATTTTCCTCTCTGTCGCTCGCGTAGACCGACAAAGAACGAGGAAGGGGCGGGGGGGGGGGGTCACTCACTTTTTTCACTCAACAGAGCTTGTTAGCTTGTTTTACTGAGTGGTTGATTTGTGTCTGCACCGGATTGACGAGCCTCTGAGTGTTGTGATTTGAGTCAACAGCTCGTCGACACAAGGCAACACACTTTAGTTTGTCAACCTTCAGTACAAAAGCACACTAGATGTCTTATATTTAATATTTAACGGATGCAGCGTGGACAGCTAGCGTGCTATCATGCACAATGCTACGTGATATATAACGCTAATTTGAGTGGGGATGTCTTGGGTGTCAAAAAACATGGTTCAAATTTGGTCACTTCTGGCTCCAAAAAAAAAAGATTTGGACAATCAAAATGCCAAATTTAGATCTTCAGTCGTTGACTACATGGTGACTTTTTAAATTTCCAAGACACATTTTATGGAGATGAACTAGTTAACATGGATCTTTGACACGATTAAAACAAACGAGACACAGATCCATGTAAAGATGATGTTTATGTTATGCTGTCATTAATCAATATGTTCCAATACAAGAAGACAAGACGTCTTTTGGCCTGAAAATCTAGTTTCCATCTAGTTTCCCAACTTCTAACACATTAGACTCATAATGGCTATCTTGCAAGCGTACTTCTCTCAATCAAATAAATTTGGAGATACAATATTTGGATGGGGAAAAAAGTTTGGTCACCAACTTGGTCTTATGGCAACAATGAACATTTGTTGCAATTTGATGGACTGAGTGGTAACTAAATCAAAATTACAACAACCAAAGATAAGACATAAATGTTTCTCTTTATTAGGAAGAGCTGATCACAAGTTTTTGGTGAATTGGAGTTTAAAAAGGAAGCGTTCCAGTCACTTCTCTTGACTGTGTAATCTATCACTGAGTTAATGAGGCATTTGTACGAGTTGTTAGTGTGTTAGGAGATAATAGTGGAGAAACTTAAACACATCAGCTGGATGTTTGCAGGTTTAAAACAGCTGTCAGCTGTGACTGCGTGTGTTTTCTGGGGCTGCTGGTTGTTCTCTTTCTGCCTCAGTGGGTTTACATCCAGCTGATACTTCAGGGCCCTTTTAAACCATTTTTTTTTAACACTGTTTGCTTTGACCCTCATTATCTCGTCTCCCTCTTCATGTTCCTTTGATTCTTTATCGAGAAACCTCTTGCCTCCCTCTTGATATAATAAATATTCTTTCTTAAGTTGCTTAATTGGCAGCTAAACAGATGTGAACGAGTGCAAGAACAAAGTGGGACAACAGCTACTGCATCTCTGTGTGCAGTTTCTACAACTACTAAAATAATATATAAATAAGAAATGCATGAAAGAAATTATATTCATCAGGTGAGTTATGTCCAGTGAGGAGAAATGAACCACTACTTCCAATAATCTTATGATTGAGTAAAAAATGACAACTTTTCTGCTTTAATGGATCATTGTTACACAATCATGATACAGCCACAGGCCTGAGATACAACGTGCCACGTTTTGTGTTCATTAACTTATAAAAGGTGAACAATGCTTGATTTTAAGAAAATGGTTTCAACCAAAAATGTTTTTATTGACCTCACATCTTAAAACAGTGGTTACCAAACTCTCTCTCTCTCAAACAGACTTTCTTTTGCCGAGTTCTTTTGCGACAACACCATCGCACACCTGACCGGGAACACAGATTTTGAGCCAGACCACTGAGCTTTGGTGGCTGAATGGTAGAAAATCACCGCAGCTATGCAATGACTTCCAGTGGAAGGATTAAAAGTAGAAGACTGGAGGCTGAAAAAGCAGCTCATGATTCTTCTTTTCTAGTTTTCCTGATCGACTGTGTGGTGCTGAATGGACAGCTCCCTAAAAAAAAAAAAGTCCATATGTCGCCCTCCCCTGAAGCGTGACCTGCTTCTGTTTTAAACCCAGACTTCACAAACCTGTAACCACCAGGCACATCACTCTTTATTACCTGCTTTGGTCCCAGTTGGCTGCGAACAGCACCAGTATCTTCCTGCCGTATCGGTCCAGATTGGAGAGCACGCCTGGGAACCCGTCCTTCAGGGCCTGCTTGATCCCCGGGTCGGTCGGCTTCAGGTTCTTGAACATGTCGAGGTTCTGCTGTCGGTACTCAAAGTACTGAGCCAGCAGCCTGAACGCCTCGAAGTGGTTGAACTTCCTCGCCCGGAGGAATCTGAGGATGAAGGCGTCGTCTGTCCTGAGGAACCCGATGTCCGGCCGGGTGATGATCATGTCCCGCACCTCCTGAATGTCCTGGTGCAAAGTCTCCGGATTCTCTTTCAGCTCCACCTTGGCCTTCTCCAGAGTCTCTGGAGAGAGGCCAGCCTGCAGGTGAGTCATCTTTTGCAACAGCTGTCCCTCCAAGGGGGGCCACGCCAGAGAAACAGCACGATCAATTGTTACCTCCAGCAACAGGGTGAAGAATATTCTCTGGTTTTCTTTTCTCTCCTGATCAGAAGCTGGCTTCAGATGGAGGCCTGCTGCTCTGTAATCCACCCTGAACTGGCACAGACGCTGCTGCTGCTGCTGCTGATGCTGTGATGCTCCTGTGTTGCACAATCATCATACGTGCACGGATCACTTTTTACGCACAGAACAAAAGCAAAGATATCAACTTTATTGTGATTTCACCACCGCGTCTGTCATGCCTCGGCTCCTCCAGACTTCAGGCGGCACATCCAACCTGCTGATCCGGGCGGCCTGAGCTCAAACAGCCGCTCGCTCCCTCCATGTCAGAGCCTCTCCTCTCCTGTGTCTCTCTGTGGCACCAATGACGACGACAGCATCACCCGTCTCCCCGGTGTCGCTCGCGGGCGGCCAGGCAATGCGGCACGAGCCTGCAGCAACCTGCCTATAACATCACCAGCATCCCTCCGCCTTCATCTCCATCCGCCGACCGACTGATGCTGCTGCTGGTGGCGCCGCTGCCGTGCACCGCTCCGTCACCGTGGAAAGAGGTGGATTTTCTCGCTTGTTTCAGCGTCTACATCCCCCCCTCTCAAACACCACCGCTCCTCATCTTCATCATCCACTATTCAGGTGTGAGTTAGAGCTCAAATCCAGCTTCAATAAACCCCCAAAAGAGGGGGTATCCAGCATCACAGGTGTCCCGCGAGGTTTTTGTTCCCTTCCTGCTGCCTGCTTTTTCTATTGTAAAGGGGTGGGGTGGACTGAGAGGGTGGAGGGTGGGGGGGTGGGGGGATTACCGACTCCGCTCCTCCTGCTGCTGCTGCTGCCGCCGTCGTCTGTTAGCTGGGAATGTGACTGACAACAGGAGAGTCTGCACTCGGCTCGGTGTGTGGACGCCACTGGCAGGATGGAGGGAGGGGGAGAAAGAGGTGGTGACCGGGTGGGAGGAGAGCGATGAAAAGCCAAAAAGTCAAAAATCAGAAGGATGGAGGATAGACAGAAAAAGTGAAAGTGGAGGAAAAGGAGAAAGGATGGAGAGGAGAGAGAATCCCCGGGGTGAAGGGGGAGGGCTTAAAGATGAAGGATAGAAAAAAAAAACCATGATAGATGGGGGGGTTGACTCTGGGTTTTTCAAGGCCTGAGGCAAAGCTCGGGGGGCTTTATATCCCCCTTTTCTTCCCCCATTTCTCTGCTTAACCTGCAAATATTGGCATGACATTTTCTCCTAAATTTGAACATTTTCATAAACCACTTTTTGATAGCAGGTCACAGATTCTTCAACATTTCGGTGTCTTTTGCCAAGTGCCAAAAAACTGCAGTTTCTAAAGTTGCCACTAGAGGCTTATGCTAAAAGTGAGTCATTCCTCGCCCCACAAGGTCTTATTGATGTCACCAATTTGTTTCAGCAGAGACATTAAAAGATAAGTTATTACCACATTGGAAATGCTGTCTGAAACGTACTTTTGATCAACCTGGCAACGAGTAAAGACTCAGAGCTGAGGCGGGGTTTTAGCCTCCTGGCAAATACCTGTCAGTCAAATCAACCACGCCCCTAATTATGCGTAACTTTTAGCCTTAATATCATCAAAATTGGGCGTTGTATAAAATATCACCTTCCCTTCAGTGTGTAAAGAAATGAGCAATACAGACCAAAAACATGTTGTTGTTTTTAACCATGCTGTAGCATTTTAATATGGGGTTGTTAATGAGACTTCTGGGCTTATTTTGAGGCGGCCTCTGATGGACAATCGAGGAACTGCAGTTTTTTGCACGTCTGCATTGGTTTCATTTATTAACACCAGAGGTTACATGTCTCCTTCTGCACATGTCTTGTCTCCAAATAACTTCACAAGCGCTTTAAGTGAGCACCTGTCATGGGAGTATTTTGGCTTCACTTTTGTACACCAGAAGTAGACGGAGACGTGCTGTCCATGCATGTATTAATGTACAGGCAGTGACTTCAAATTTCACCGTGTGTTTGTGATTTCTGGAGACATTCAAAGTATTAGACATCACGGCCTGCTGAGTGAATTATTGTACAAACCGCCCATCCAACTAGTGCTCCAGTTTTTTGTGTGGGTGAAATACGTAGTATTACTTCTTATATGGTGGTACGTATTAACAGAAAAGTGTGTCTGCTCTTACCTTAGCTGGCTTGTTAACTCGTTAAGTGTCGTACACTGATGTATTTGAGGAGGCACATGCATGTGAGTCAGGATTGTTGTTGGCTTTTATCCTGCAGAAAAAAGGCTGCAGGCCATAAGTGATGAAACGTCTATTTTAAGATATGCAGTATGTGTGGATCACGCAACGCTCTCTTACCAGAAACAGACTTTATTTTTATTTTTTTATCCTTTTAAAATCTCACTTTCTCAAATTCGTCTATTCCAGTTATACACTGCAAAAAAAACCTAATCTTACCATCAAGAGTTTGTCCCAAATTTTCGTAAAAATAAATCTAATTACGCTGCATTGACAGATACTTATTACAAGCATTTTTATACTTTTCATATTTTGAAACACAATGTTTATCTGGACTTGTCAGGTGAATGTGGCTCATAATAATTGGAATAGGACGTTTTTTTGTTTTTTTTAACTAAAATACGATTCATAAGATTTGAGTTTTTGCAGTCCATCCTCCCGAATATGACTCACTGAGATCATCATTTATTGATCAGCAGCTGATTTATTACAGAGCTGCTCACATGACGTGTAGCTGCATTACAACATGAAACAGAGAGGTGGATGTATGAATGGATGGAGAGGGGTGGGGTTATGTTGGGAGGGGGGGGGGGCAGCACCTGCTCAGTGAGCAGACAGCTGCACTTAAACATGCTGAATTAATTTCTATTGTATGTGTCTACTTATCTCCGCTCTGTGTGACGGTGTCAGAGCACACGGCCGAGGCCTGAGTTTAATATGGAGCGTATAGCTCAGTGACATCACAGCTAATAAAACTACACGATGACCACAGACTTTTTATTAATACATAAAAGAAGTGGAAAGGAGAGGGGAGGTCATTAAGCTGCTGTGTTTGTGGACACATTATGAGAGCGGACAGTTTTCTTCTTTTCTAAGTTGGAGAAGAAAAGGAAAGAGGGACCAAGAAAAGAAAATACGAGATGAAACAAAGAAACAAGACAAGAAAAGAAGAAAGAAGAGGAAAGGAAACAAGGATCAACAATGGGTTACTAATTGCCGTGAGCTCTGACGAGTTGATGTAAAAATGAATTGTGGACCGGCATTTTAAATGACCTCAAGTTTTTCAATAGCACAGCTGTTGTCATGGAAATATCATTATTGCTGATGTTCTAAAAATCAACCTGTCTGCAACATTTCCAAAAGTAATGTTGTTCAAGTCACACTTTGCCCCCCCGCAGGTTCTGTTCTTCTTCGGAGAAGAACTTTACCTCTGCATGAACTTTCCTTTTTTACAAGAAGACCTGCTGCCCTTCTTTGAATTAAAACACAAACACTGTCTAGACTATGTTTAGCATTAAACTCTACATTCTGCCCAACAACAGGGGTTACTGATACCCACCCCCCTTCTTTCAATTTAACTATATAAAGCTGGTTTCTCTTTGTCTTCTTTGAACTTGGCTGCAGACAGGTTAATTTTTTGAACATCAGCAATAATGACATTTGACACTGACACTGTCATCTTCTGCTTGTGTCTCTGATGAGGGCCTTCACATCTGATTGAACTGGACTCAAACGACTGAACATCAAGATGTCCTGCAGAATTAGAGTGTGAGACTACCTCCATTCTGCAGATTAACAAGACAGTGAACAAATATGTTGAAACAACCATGTAAGTGTGCAAATATAAAAACTCCGTCCTGTTTTTTCATCAGATGTGTTACAAAGTTATTCTTCATTGTCTGCTATTTTCACTGTTTGACTTAAAGGCAAAAACCTGTCCACGTGTGAACTGTAACCTGAGTCAGTCGTTCATATAAAGTTCACACATTTCAACCCAGTTACCATTTCACCAGGTCCAGCTTGCTTAATCAAATGTAGTCCACTGTGAATGCCCTGCAACAGTTTCTCCCCTCATGAAGTTTTTAATGTGAGAGAGGGGATGATAGGAGGGTCTGATCTTTTCAGAGGCTGCACACTGTGTCTCTGTTGAACTGCAGAGAGGAGGTTCCAGCTCTAACCAGGGTGCACAAAATCACAGGAACAGTTCAGCAGATCCACGACCAAACACAGAGGCACGGTGGCGCCCTCTGCAGGCAATATGGCAAAGATGCAATGTAACAATTTCAAAGACAGTGTCATCTTGAGATCATCTGTTGTTATGTATAAGATGAGCTCAACCAGAAGGTTGGGGGTTCGATCCCCAGCTCCTGCAGCCCCATGTGTCCTTGGGCAAGACACCTAACCTATGTATGTATTTTTTTGTCTTGTCCCCCCACCCCCCCCCCCCTTAATGACTTACAGTATTTGTTGTTGTTTTGTTTGTCTATTTTCTGGAGTCATGATAATGTCAGTACTGTCTCGTGTATTTTGCTGCCTGTTCTTAACTAAAATAATCTGTTTTTACTGTGTTTTTCAAGTTTAAGTGTTAGATGCCTCAATTTGTAGTAATGAGGTGACAACTTGAGCTGTACTGATTTCACACTTAAACATGCATCATTCTCTACAATCACCTCTCAACACCCCCTTCCTATTCATAGCTTTCAGTGACGTCACCAGCGCGGAGGGCTGGAGGGCAAAAAAACGTTCCTAACCTATAAACGGCAGTAGCTCAGTCTGTAGGGACTTGGGTTAGGAACCAGTGGGTCACTAGTTAAAGTCCCGGTGCAGACCAAATATGGAAGTTGGTCTGGTAGCTGGTGCCAGATCACCTCCTGAGCTGTGCTGAGGTGTCCTTGAGCAAGGCACCAAAGCCCTCCCCACCACCAGCTCAGGAGTTCCTGCTGTGGGCAGTGTTAATGTTTTTTCTCCCCTCGGAGCCAGAGTGGCTGCATTCCCAATATGGTAAAAGGGGCGGGACATTTCCGAGGACCGTGCTGAACGACTGACCAATTACGGCAGAGCCGACAGGCCGACCAATCAGATCAGACTTGGCACACGTGGGGACTCTGAACGTGGGCACTTCAGAGCCTTAGAGAGAGAGTCAGAAGCGAGCCGGTGCATGATGATCGATGCAGCTCATCTCAATGATCATCAGTTTATGATCACTTAAACATGTTACATCATGTTTTAATAACTATGACACATTCATAGAAATGAACACTTAAAGCAGGCTTGAAGTCAAAATGAGGAAGTGATGACATACTAAGAAAGGGAAGTAGATGCAGCGTCTCTTTAAAGAAGCACTACTGAAGAAACTCAGACAGTTAGGAGCGTGACAACGGGAGGACAGAGACGGAGAATCACCATGAACGAGCTCAAATGGATTCAAACTTCTTTACTTCTCACAGCGCTGCTTCAGTTTGCTGGTAAGAACATTTATATCACATATTTAACCTTTTTTTAAACATGATGGATTTAATGAACTCTGAGAAACCACAGATGAAGAATTATTCTCAAACTGATTGTGAATATAATCAACATTTTATTGATTTACTTTATTCTTTTGTCATTTTCTCAACAGCAGCAGCGGATTAAAGAAGTCACATTAAAGCTTCACTTGGAGAGAACGCCACTTGTCTTGTGAAACTGTGATACAAGGTCAACAGAAGTGTGAATATACGACATGGCTTCATTGATTTAAGAAACAGAGCA